TTTGGCAAGCATCATGTGGTGAGGAAAGATCTAGGCACATATATCCAGTTGGATATGGGTAGCGTGAGTTATTATTGTTGACATCACCCTTGAGGTGAATATGTTGGGGGCGAAATTATAAGCCCCTATCTTGCTATGTGTCCGGTTGAAACGTTTTGCTCATGTGTAAGCAGTGAGTGTTAGCAAGCATAGAAGACTATATGATGGTTGAGTATGTGGAGCTCTTACTTGGACTCTGTTGAATAAGTTGAATTGCAATTGTTTGGTGACTAAGAATATAGGTTGTTGAGTTTCAAGAGAATTCGTTGTTCGAATCTTAACATGTGAATTGGTTGATACTTGAACATGAGAAGTTTTATAAGAAAGAGTTGTTGTTATGATGCTAGGGAAAGTGATTGAAATTATCATTGATCAAACTTATGCACTTTGCTAGCATTCACACTTCATAAATTATTTCTTTTATCATTTACCTACTCAAGGACGAGCAGGAATTAAGCTTGGGGATGCTAATACATCTCCAACGTATCTATAATTTATGAAGTATTCTTGCCATGTTTACAACAATTTTATAAGGTTTTGGTATGATTTGCATGGAACTAACTCGGACTGACGTTGTTTTCAGCAGAACTACCGTGGTGTTGTTTTTTGTGCAGAAATGAAAGTTCTCCAAATGAGCTGAAACTTTTTGATGATTTCTTTTTGGAACAAAAGAGACACCTGAAGCTTCATGGAAGGACCAGAAGGTGAAGGAGTAGGGCACAAGACACTGGAGCGCACCTGGGCCCTTGCCCGTGCCCCGGTGGGTTGTGCTCACCTCGCAGCCCATCTTCGTGTGATTCCAACTCTGAAAAATCCTATAAATACCAAAAAACCCATAAATAACCCTAGATCAAAAATTTTGCTGCCTCAAGCCTTTGTAGCCACGAAAAACCAACCTACACCCCGTTCCGGCACTCCTCCGAAGGGGGAGATCATCACCAGTGGCCATCTTCATCATCCCGGTGGCCACCATGATGAGGAGGGAGTAGTCCACCCTCGGGGCTGAGGGTTTTTACCAGTAGCTATGTGTTTAATCTCTCTCTCTCTCTCTCTCTCTCTCTCTCTCTCTCTCGTGTTCTTGAGATGTCACCATCTTGATGTATCGCGGGCTTTGTTAATATAGTCGGATCATATGGTGTTTTCCCCTCTCTATCTTGTTTTGAATTGAGTTTTCCCTTTGAGATTTTGTTTTATCAGATTGAATACTTTTATAGATTTGAGAACACATGATGTATGTCTTGCTATGAATAGCCGTGGTGACAATGGGGTATCATATTGATTCACTTGATATGTGTTTTGGCACTCAACTCACGGATTCCGAGGTGACATTGGGGTAATCTATGCATAGGGGTTGATGCACGTTCTCATCTTTGTTTCTCCGGTAGACATCTTGGGGCACTCTTTGAGATTCTTTGTGTTGGATTGAGTATTATGAATCTGAATTTTTTGATGCATATCGCATAATCAACTCACGGATACTTGCGGTGACATTGGAGTATCTAGGTGACATTAGAGTTGGTTGATGTGTATCATATGGTGTTATTTTAGTATGAACTGTTGGTTAGATTGATTCAGAAAGAATAGCTTTGTGTTATTTTAGTACGAACTCTAGGATAGATTGATCAGAAAGAATAGCTTTGAGGTGGTTTCGTACCCTACAAACAATTTCTTCTTATGTTCTCCTCTAGATAGGAACTTTGGAGTGATTCTTCATCGCACATTGAGGGATGGTTATGTCATCCAATTATATTAGCATTGCTGATAGATTGCACTAGCGGAAGTACGGCCCCTAGGTCTCATTTTCAAGCATTGCAATACCGTTTGTGCTCCGTTTTATCAATGCTACCTTGCTGTTTTTTATTGTTCCTACCACAAAAATCAATATCTACTATCATTACTACTATTTTATTACCATCTCTTCACCGAACTAGTGCACCTATACAATTTACCATTGTATTTGGTGTGTTGGGGACACAAGAAACTTTTTATTATTTGGTTGCAGGGTTTCTTGAGAGAGACCATCTTCATCCTACACCTCCCACGGATTGATAAACCTTAGGTCATCTACTTGAGGGAAATTTGCTGATGTCATACAAAACTCTGCGCTTGGAGGCTCAACACGAGTCTACAAAAACAAGTTGTGTAGTGGACATCACATACATGTTACACTTAAGTTGGACGTAAAGTGGTTTCAAATATTCGAATTCACCTTAAATTGGATTCTACATTCTGAATTTGAGTATCGGCATTTGTAAATCAAATTCATATTTGATAGTGAAATACATCTTTGTTGTGCTTTTGAAAAAATATAAAAAAAACATAGGATGATATATAAAGATTCATATAAGAGTACAAACTGGATTCAAATTTAGTTGCCAGGGTAAACGTGAATGCTTATTGTCCCAAAATTTGAAACAAGTGGCAAAATATCCACTCCCACGTCGGCTGCCCGAAGCTAGGTGTTTGCGAGATGGAAATTACTGTCAACCCCTTACACGGACAATCCATTGGCCCGATTTCCAATGTTCTCAATAGGGGTAGGTTACTAACTTCAATTAGACACGACACGACCGCCTCTTAGCCCGTTCAGACACGGTGGGCGCCAAAAATAGGCGGCAGAACACATTTGATTGAAGCTCATCCGAAAGACCTCTATCTCTCCCTCCATTTCCCCATTCATACACGGTGGACGGCAAAACAAACTCGACTCAGACGAAATCAATGTAGGCAAGCATTTTTGATAGGGGCTAGTTTGTAACTTCACTCAGACGTGACACAACCGCCCTACCTGTCAGCCCCGTTCGTACACCGTGGACGCCAACCGTGGGGTCCAAAACACCTTCTCCTCGCCCGAAATCGCTTTGGGAAAATATTTGGGAGATGCGAGATTACCGTCCTATCCCCAACCAACGAGACATCCAAATTTTAAACGGGGGCTAAGTCCGTAACTTTCCCATATTTTAGACAGGTGCGTCTGAAAAACATGGTTCCCCATACCTCTCCCTCCATTTTCCCAGTCATACACCGTCCGCACTAGAACACCATCCCCACACAAACCTCCTCCGTCTGCCACCCCATCCATCACCGCCTTCCTCCACCATGCTGGAGCGCCTACCAAGACCGCATCGTCCACTACTAGAGATGGACGTTTCTCATCCATGCTGACGAACCAGGAGCCTTGCATCGCGTCCTCTCGCTTCATAGGTGCCATCGTCCTCTTTGCGGGGGCCGCTCCCATGAGCTTCTCGTCCACCACAATGGGACTTATCCCCCGATGCACCTGTCTACCATCGCAGATCTGCTTCAACTCCACCAACATTCATCGCACCCCCGATGCCTACATGGCGTCGCATGAGAGGTGGTACTACTTCATATCTACTCAATGTTGTGATATCAACCGGAAAATAGATCGTAACTTGGTTACTGTACTTTCTTTTCAGCTCTTAGAATTTAGCTCTTAGTTCGAAGCAAACAATCGTTGCTAAATAGCATTTCTGCGGTTTGCAGCTTCAAATCTGCCATGGCACAATCATAATAGGGTTTAATTGATCATGCTTAGGGTTTTCCCCCTCTTATGATCACTACTAGATCGGGATCGCGCCCTGGCGCAAGGGTGCCGGTTCCAACGACTTTTCCTAGAGGATAAAGATCAAACACAAGTTGTATTAGTAGCAAGGAAAATTTTAGCACATCTATTCAAAGAACAATCGATTTTTAGGTTCAAGAGAAAAAAGAAACATTCAGTCTTGTACCAAAAGTAAGGCATAATCGAGTTCAAAAGTGTCACAAGATTACAATAGCTAATTGCATTTAGACTGTCCCATAAGGAAAGGCAACATCAAGTTCGGTATGGTCATTAGATTACAAAAGCTAATTAGATGACATTAGGTACAACACTTAGCAGGAACATAAGAGAGCAAAAGCAAAACTAATGCATGAGATTAATATGTCAGATAGAAGAGCCTCCGTTTACAATAGCAAAGGAGATAAATTAGTGGAGATCCCATCCAAACTACTATAGAGACCTCATCCCGCCCCGTGATGGTGTTGACCTGGAATCCAAGAGGATGAGAAAGAGAGAGTACCACAAAGTTACATCAGTGGTTATTAAAAAGAATGATCACCAAAAAAATTGATCTAAGAGAATGGTCTGCCAACATAATGGAACAAAAACTCTCCTAAGAGAATGGCCAGTACATAAAACTATCTCGTAAAGGAAACAATAACTGCATCAATACATAAGAAAAAATTATGTCCACCTCACACCAATAGGAAGAGAGAAGCACTACGTTCCTAAATCTGGGGGAAACCATGATACTCAAATAAGTGTGATCTTGAATATTATGATGCGTCAAACTTCTTTTAACATATCATATTTGATTTAGCTTTAGTAGTAGAACAAGAGGAAAATGAATCAAAACTTCCACATAGGCATTGCTACAAAACAAAATTGATGTTTGAAGATAACGCAGAAGACACATCCATTTTATTTCCCTTACACTTTGAACATAGAGAGAGAGAGAGAACGAAAAAATGAATATCCATAAGAAAGACTAACAAAAATGAACTTTAAAGAAAAGCAAACTAAAATAGGGGACGAGCTAACATGAGGCTCCGGACCACAATGGCACCCTTTGCCATACTAACGAACAAACTAAAATTCGGATGTCATCAAAGCATTCTTATCTTCAAGCGAAGAAAGTTTTGGTATAACTAGGAGGTAAATGCCAAGCTATTGGCATGCTAGTGTACGTATCTAAGCATGGTATAACCAAAGAAACATAGAAATAAGATAACTGAACTTTCTTAAGACAGAAGAGTGAGATATGAAGAGCACCATTTTCCAATAGGGGGGAGGAGTCAAGCAATGACATCACATCCAAAACCAAAGCTGAAAGGACTACTGAGAATGGAGCTAACATCACATCATTGGAATATATATCCACGGATAGATCGAAACTTTAAACTTCTTCAAATACTGGTATAGAGTTGCAAGTACTAATGATGGTGCTCCATAATGCAGGGAAATCATACCAAACCTGCAAATGAACCAGATAGTGATCAAAATTAGTACCAAACCTGGAACTGCCTGTCAAAATCCTTTCAGTGATGAGTATATATTTGACATGACAATATCACATCTGTTTGCCATTATTTTTTGTCTTCTAATCATATATGGTTTATAATCACAGGTTATGAGAACACCCAACAAAATAGACCGCGCGCTTATTTAGACACGAAGAGGGTTAATTGGTTAAATAAATCATTCCCTGTCAGTTTTAACAAACACTTGCTCCATCAGGTTCAGATCAGTAATCACCTACTGCTACTTTAGCAGTGATAAACTTAAGGACTACTTGATTGATTAAGCGATCATCATCCGAGGAAACTCACAAGCACGTTCAGAGCAGCGAGCGTCGCCATCCCTTCACGCGTCTACTGAGCACACGGAGTCAAACAAACAAACAGAGAAATCGATCAGAGGATGCATGGCAATGCCAATGGCATGGATGTACAGATCCATCTTCACTTCAGTTGAATCCAATTGATATAGATACATCAATACTATTTCATACCTTGGATGTTGATGCGATGTGAGGCACGACGACGACATTCTTCATCTCAGCCAGCCCTGGCTTCATGTAAGGCTCATCCTCAAAAACATCAAGGCCAACATGGAACATATGATTCGCCCTCAGGTGCTCCACCAATGCAACCTCGTCGATCACCGGGCCACGGCTCGCATTCACCAACACTACCTCCTCCTTCATCATCGCTAGCCGCTCAGGGTTTATTAGGTAGTGCGCCGTCTTGTCCAGCACGGGGTGCAGGCTTATCTGTTGCCATCAACAGAAACAGAGTTCCATATCTCAAATGTAATTTTTTTTCATCTGTATTTTGAAAATTGCAATGCCCCAGTGCATATTGTATCTAATTAACTGACCACATCAGCCTCCTTGAGGACCTCCTCCATGCTGGAAGCCCTCTTCCATGTCAAGGGCTGCTCACCATTGGCTTTCAAGAACTGGCCATACGCGGCATCATAAAAACATTATTACACATGCATTAAGTCGACATCAAATGCATAAATAGCTGACACAAGAATAATAGTGCCGTAAATCGGTATGGGTAGGTAATACAATTTACCTGTGATGAATTTCTCGAGCCGTGTGGACTGGTACAGGTCGAAGTAGATCAAGTTCATCTTGAACCCCTCAATCTAACTGTGTGGACTGGTACAATTTACCCGTGACAAATTTAGTAATGATTAAAAACACTTCTAAAAAATCTTAAGCACGCCCTCATCTATTATATTATTTATCCCTCATATCCACTTGTCTAGAATTATTTATCCCAACGTATGTTACAACAGATAATATCAGTCATCGAGATAATTTCAGTGCCAATAAAGTTCAGATAGACAAACTCATCAGAAATGACCATCCAAGGACAGAGCAACTAAAATAAGAACATGATCAAAACGGCAAAGAAACGAGGGGGTATCCAACTTAATACCCACAAGTGCCTCGATTGCTCGAGAGCATGCTTATATCAACCATAACGATCATCATAGCCCTGGCTATGTCCCATACAGTAGCCGAAGTAGGAGGAAGATGCAGCTCACCGAGGGAGGTTGTAGCCGAGGCATTGCTCAGTGGGTGCCAGAGTTGTGGTTGAACGACGTCCAACCGACGAGGAACCGCTTCCTACACTCCTGAACCGGCATAAAAAGAAGCAGGAGCTCATCATTTCCCATCGCTCCTGAAAAAATAGTAAAACAAACAAAAATTAATGCTTTGTGACTGACCAACAAGGATTAAAAAACTAATTCTTATAACTGAAGGTGCTCTGAACCCAAATCTTTTCTTCATAAACATGGAGAAACTCTCATCAACAGAGTAGCTTGCGACATATAAATTTTTTTTATAAGAAAGAACACCAGATAGAAGCTAACAAAATTAAGTTTAGAATATACCCTAGAAAATCAATAATTGTACAAAAATATTGTGGGCCAAATGGAATTAATATAGGCCACTAACTAAAATGAGAGGAACCAAACTTCTATATTTTGACCAATTTTTCCACATTAGTCTGAAGCTCTTGTTATTTTATTTATCCAAATTAAGAAAGAAGCAGACATAATGGACATAGACCAAGCATACCAACCTAAATGGACCAGCCCAATGAATGTCTACCTGACAGCATACTACTTCAGCATACTAAACAGAAGCAACAATGGTACTTACAAATTGAAGGGTTCAGGAAGGATCTCCCCCTCTACCAGGAACATGTTGGCAATTTTGATATTTCACTTGAGCAAGTAGTCATGGATATTTACATCAAGCCTGCACGACCCACCACAAGAAATTAAAGATTTTATAATTCATCCCAAGAACACATCCAAACATTGAACACCTTATGGTGGTGTACCTTTGTGGAGAAGTAGATCTGGACAGGCTTGTCACTGGTGACTAACATCCCCGTGCCCTTCTCCTCCATCCCAACACAACATGTTCGTCTCCTGCAGTTCCATGATGATGGGTGGATCAGTGGTGAGAGAGAGAGAGAGAGAGAGGACCTGCAGCCGATCCATAAAATAAAAATACATGCTTGCATACATACATCACAAGGTCAGAACTTCATAAGCACATTTGGACGACAGTACATTCTTAGTAGACAGACCTAGCATGATCTTTTCATTAGTTGATTCAATTAATATTTCAAAATAAATTTTATTTGCACAAAATTAAGGTCTAAGATGAACCATAAACAACTCATGCAATAAAAAAATCTCTAGCAATGCAAGTATTATGGCTTCCATAGCAACACACAAGTATTTGGCTAGTAATTTCATAAAACTGCGAGGGATCATACAATATATGCCGGTTTTCCCAATCAACAATGAACTATAGTTCCATAATAACAAGTGATTCCAATTAAACACAAGTGCTCAGAACCATGGAACTTGAGCTTTATAAAATCATGCTACTAATTATCTTAGCCACCAATTAAACTCAGATGCGGACCATGGTCAATTGTGGGTATACACGCTCGTCTGAAATATCGTCCACTAAAAACATAACAACATTAATCCAGTTAACACATACCTCAAGTACTGAAGAACTGAGGTCCTCTCCACCATTTTGACCTATCGGTTTGGGAATAAAAAACTCAGGGTCGATTCCTGCATGAAAGGTAAGAAATCAGCTCTACTCGGAAAATAGAGGAAAATGTAAATAAAATGTACTGTGAAAACATACCATCAACCATGAATCCAACCACCATTGGTCATATCCTCACCATGGAACAAGTCACTATCTTCATTTTCTTATGGAGTTTGAAAGAACAGACATTTTAGTACTGTTCTTCTGAACATCAGTTTTCAAGTATTAACTGCAACTCAAATTAATTACCAGCAGTAGGATCAGGGTTCAGTTCAGCACAATGGCAGAAGGCATCAAGAAGTGAATCTACCGAACTTCTGTCAAGGATATCAAGCATTAATTTTCTACAAGAAGGTAAATGCTGATTTTATAATTCATAGCAAAAATGTGCAGGGAGTTACATAAAGTGTCAAGCCCACAAGTTATTCTCCTGGGGCACTATAGCATTCAGTTATGACCTTAGAGATGGAGGACGACCTGGCAGAGAGGTCTTCTTATAACACTATAATGTAATTTCTCCTACAGTTATTGCACATCAGAAGTCATTATCTACGGCTGGACGAAATTACCGCAAGCCAAGTACAAAAGAACTTACTTCGGATATTGCTAGCAGAGGAAAACCTTGGTCCGCCCAGGCCTGGATGAAGAAGCACGCGTTGGATGGAGAAGCCAACGAGGAGCACACATTGGATGGAGAAGCGGCGGAGAGGAACCGGAGTCGGAGTCGCCCAGGCCTGGCCTCCTCCTGTCGATGTGCCAGCCGGTGGTGAAGGCGCACTCCGCTTGACCTCCACCCGTCGCTCCGCCTGGCCTCCTCCCATTGATGACGTGAGGTCGACCTGCCGTGGATGCGCCACCGTGGTCGCTGGGACCTCTCTACTGCACCTCCTGTAGAGCTAGGGTTTCAGGCGCAGGAAGGGAAGGAGGGCTGTAGAGGTTGGGCGCCGGCCAGGAGGGGGTGCCGGCCAGGAGGTGGAAGGAGGAGGTCCGGCCCTGAAGACCCCGCCGCCTCGGAGGAATCGATCCCGCGAGGGGCCAATCCACCGGCCACAGGAGATAAGGCGAGGGGATTGGGAGAAGGTGGGGGCGCGGTGGGGGTGGTGGTGGACGACGGCGACGACACCGGGGAAGTGGGCGGCAGGGGTCCGGCGGGCAGGGCAAAGGAGACGGCGGTGGCATTCGGGTTTGGGTGGAGATGGGCGGCGACGTTAGGGGAGGGGGCTGGGATGCGAGGACGCGCGGGCGGGGGCGAGTGTAGGGAGGATGGCCTGGCCGAGCGGCGACAGCGGCGGCAGCCGGTGGGGGCGGCCTAGGGTTTGGATGGGGGGAGAGAGGCGAGGAGGAGGGAAGAGGAGAGGAGGACGCGCGAGTGGAAGAGGAGCGACGGCTAGGTCACACCGATATGGCGTGGCTGGATATTTTTTAGCCCATGTGAAATGACCAAAATGCCCTCGGCGGCCACCCAGTTTTACGCGCGGTGGCACGACCGGGAGGTAACTCCTCATTCAACCCATGCTATAGGGGGTGCTGGTTTCGATCCGACGGCTGACGCCCCTCCACCGCTCGATCGGACGTCCGTAATTCAATCAGGCAACTCGATCGGACAGGCAGGAATCGCAAATCGCTGAGGAGCCGGGGTTCTCGAGCGGTCTTGTTTTTCTGGATACGATCAGCCTATGTGCTTCGTGTCATAATAGCACTGCTCCACCCATCAAGCTAAACAAGTTTAGTTGTTTAAATACGAATATGATATTATTAAAATAGAGTCGTTTAATCGGTCAGCTAAATGTTCCTAATTTAGTTTCAAAAATGCATGTACGCTGTTAGGGTGTGAATCTACAGGGTTCGACCCAGACCCCGATTCCCCTCTGTTCTGCTGTGCTTCCGATCTCTACTCTCCCTCAGCCACCTTCCTCACCGGCGACCTGTTGTCCCCGGACAGCATGACTCTAGGAGGAGATGCCAGACTAACAGGAGGTCACGAGCCGCTCGCCCAACAACGTCACCACTACCCGGGCGCGCCGTCGTGCCTACCTTCCCAGTCCGTTCAGGGCTCAGGCATGCAACACCCACTAAGCCAACCTGATTTATCCTGAGATACGTCCTCAACACTCAGCAGCCACTCCTCATCACGCATTTTGTAATTGATTCATTATTCATTAGGCAGGACTGTCATTAGGGTTTGTTGTGTACTGAGTGCTACCTACACTTAATGGTTCAAATATTTCAGTAATCTTTAGTGCTTGTAAAGTTCACAGGGTTTCAAAATTCCGGCCCTAGGAACAAACACTAGGCATGTTGGATTGTTGGTCATAGTGACATTGACCCAGATTACTACTGTAGGCCAGGTTTGTTGACAATTTTACTTGTCTTTCTTACTCATTCAATATGATATCCAATTATTCATGTCAATTAGTTGCAAACAATCGTTTGGGTGGGACGCTAGTACTTAAACTAGGGTTGCTTCTTAGTGCTAATCTTGCATTTATGTGCTAGACCAACTTCTTGATTCAGATTTTGGACGGTCTCTTACTGCAGTTACAATTCTGCATACTTGTCCTAGTAAGCTCACAGGTAATGATTGATTCACTACCTCTATGATTGCCTTGTCATATTTGTTGTCCATATTCTTTTAGTGTGGACCACCCTGTTCCAAAATACTGGAATCGTAGACATGAGTGAATAGTATTTCTCAGTGTGATCTCTTTCATCATGTGTGGGCAATGAACACTGCATTGTATAGAAAGAAAGTGCCATATGCACCTTTTACATGGAATACGATCTGCCTACTTGCTTTGTGTCGCACTAC